AAAAAAAAAAAAGAAAAGAGATCAAAATAGAACAATGAAACCCTTTAAAAGGGGAGGGGAATAAGGGAACCCTGAGAGAAGTATACATTGTATAGGAATGTGGATATGTTCCAATAACACTCTCCCTTGAATAATAATAATTATTATATATTATTATAGTAATAACCAGAGTCTGAGACTCCATCTCTGACTAATTGGCAAAAAAAAAAAGCTGGTAATAAAGCCTAGGAGTTCCAGCCAGATGCCAGTGGCTCATGCCTGTAATCCTAGGTACTTAGGAGGCTGAGATCTGAGGATCGCAGTTCAAAGCCATCCCAGGCAGGAAAGTCCCTGAGACTCTTATCCCCAATAAAACCACCAGAAAACCAGAAATGGGGCTGTGGCTCAAGTGGTAGAGCACTTGCTTGAGCTGAAGAGCTGAGGGACAGTGTCAAGGCCCAGAGTTCAAGCCCCATGACTGACAAAAAAAAAAAAAAGCCTAGATGTTCCAGAGCTTAAACCTGTCCACCCATCCCATAATAGCACCCACCCCAAAATAAATTTGCTTCAGATTGCTGTTCCAAAACATACCTGATTTTGGTAAGCCTCCGGAGCAAACTGTTCATAAACTGGAGCTAAAAATGTAGCCAGACCCTGTAAATTATCTTCAAGTATTTTCTCCTATAAGGAAAAACAGTTTATCTGGTTATTTTATAATCACATACCATGAACTAATTGTGTATGGCTAAAGCATAAGAAATACTTTCCAGTACACAGTTTCCATTGCAGGCAATATTTTGCTTCTTTTTCTTAATCTAAACTATAAGAAATTGTCATTTTAATTAAAATTGTTCTAAACCAGCAATCCAAACAGTGTTGAGAAATGTTACTCATGTGGCTAAGAATGAGAAGCAGGCTTTGTGATAAATGAACATTCTCATCTGGAAGAGAAGATGTTGAAGAATTCAGGGTGATACAATGTGAAAAGAAAGAGCCCCATACATCATGTAAAACACATACTGGCTGTATTTCAGGGATAATGATGAAAGAGATTTTTGTAAAGGCCTCTGGATCAAAGGTGACTAATTGCACAAGTGGATGTCCGCTGTCATCCATCTAACATCACAAAGACAATTAAGATTTGGTAGGAGTGAGGACTTATAATATGAGACTAAGACTCAGGATGCCACTTTGTGCCTATCTGGGACCCCAGCACCAGGGAGGCAAAGGCAGGAGAATTTAAGCAACACCTTGGCTAAAGTTAGTGATAGGGTTAATGATACACAAGTAGGGCTTCCTAGCTATTCAAGAAGCTGAGATCTGAGATATCTAAGGATGGAGGTTCAAAGCCAGCCAGGGCAGAGAGGTATGGCTCAAATGGTAGAGTACCAACCTTGAGTAAAAAAGTCAAGTGAGAGAGCTATAAGGTTTGAGTTCAAGCCTTACTAGCAGCGTATTAAAAAAGAAGAGAGAGGGAGGGAAATTGATGTAAGGCTGAAGTCATGCTCAAGCAGTAAAGGGCTACCTAAGATTTCCTGAGTTCAGTCTCTAATATTAGCAAAAACAAAGCAAGACAAAACGAAACAAAACAAAACCATGGACACTCCCCCAAATCCCAAAAACAGTGTAAATAAAGTACATTCCTAAATTAGATTTTTGTGTGTATGCTGATCCTAGGGCTTGAACTCAGGGTCTGGGCACTGTACCTGAGCTTTTTTTGCTCAAGGTTGGTGTTCTACCACTTTAGCCACAGCTGCACTTCTGGCTTTTTTAGGTAGTTAAGTGGAGATAAGCGTGTCAGGGGCTTTCCTGCTTAGGTTGGCTTTGAACTCCAATCCTCAGATCTCATCTCAGCCTCCTGGATAGCTATGACACCTACCTAGATTAAGTTTAAGAACACATTTTTCCAAGTTTCCCCTGCAATCATCCTGCCTCACCCTGAAACATAAGTGCATCTCGCCATGCCTGGAAGATGAAGTTGATTTCCCCGCCTTTTTATTAGCAGTATTGGGGCTTGACCTCAGGTATATACTTTTTCACTTTTTTAAAGTTCATTATGAGATAGGCTCTTCTTCAGGATGCATCTCTTCTGTGCTTCCTGTTGAAGTGACAGAGCACCAGCCCCAGCTACAATGCTATGCAAGAGATCCTGAGCTCAAGTCCCAGTACCAGCATAAAAGTTCTTCTATGGGGCTGGGAGTGTGGCTTAGTGATAGAGTACTTGCCTAGCATGCATGAAACCCTGGGTTCAATTCCTCAACACCACATAAACAGAAAAGGCCAGAAGTGGTGCTGTGGCTCAAGTGGTAGCGCACTAGCTTTGAGCAAAAGCATCTCTGGGACAGTGCCCAGGCCCTGAGTTCAAGCCACAGGACTGGCAAAAATATATATCTATATATTTATCAAGACTTAGTTAAAATATATAATTTCTACATGTATTCATTAAAAAAGTTTAAACACACATTAAACTTTTTCAAATATATTTCCTTTAGAAGATTTTATAAGTAATGTTTTATAAGCTGTAGGGTACCACCAATGGATACTAGAGTTAGGAAATTCAAGGAGTCTCATGGACTTTCCTGCCTTGGCTGGCTTCAAACTTCTGTCCTCAGATCTCATCCTCCTGAATAGCTATCTCTTTGCTTCCTACTTACAAATTCCTTTTACCTCATTTTTTCAACCCAAACTGTGTGTGTATGACAGAATGAAATAAAGGTAAATTTTCTACATATGACTGTGAATACTATGCCAATAAAAAAAAAAGAAATGCAAATAAATTGCAAGCACATTAGGAATAAGTACACAGTATTAATTTCATTTCACTTTTGCTTTTTATTACATGTTATCACAGCATTAATATATAATTTTTGATAACTTTCTACAAATCTGTGTATAGTTATCAATTTTACTTTAACTTTACTTTTGGATACTTCCAAGTTTAGAAAACACAAATCTTCAAGGCAATTAAAAGGTAAATTCCTTTCATCCAAAAAAAGAACCTGTGGAGTGACACCCCTCCCTCAGTCTACCCATCCCCAAAACAAGTCTGAGTACTCATGAATACTAATCTCTTTGCTCACCATGGCCAGGTGTTCTGGACTGATTCGTACTGGTTTCTTACTTCGTACAGGTCTCTTACTTCTTTTTACGTTACCTCCTCTTATTCTTCGATAGTAAGTCTGTGGGTAGTAAATTTGCTGTGTTTTTCAAATGTTGACAAATGGCTTTTGCTTACACTGGCTTATTTTTAGACTGGGTATAAAATTCCAGTTGTTGTTTAAAAAAAGAAATCACACACATACACACAATCTTTGCTTTTAACAATAGCCAAGGACACAACATTTGATGTTGAGGCTTTGGATCCCTATGGCTCACATCTGTTATCCTAGCTGCACAGTGGGCTGAGATAAAGAGAATCTTAAGCAGGATCTTTAGGAGGTTTGAAGCCAGCACAAACAGAAAAGTCCATCTCAAAAAGACTCCTATCTCCAAACCAGCAAAAATGCTGGACTAGAGTCATGGCTCAAATGATAGAGCCTCATACAACTGACTAAACTGAGCAGGCCCAATGCCTTGAGTTCAAGCCCCAGTTATTCCTTTATCTATCCCCCTTACCAAAAATAAAAATCAGGGATTGTTACTTTCTCTAAAGTGGAAGTTAAAATATCTTACAAATATTAATATGTTATTGCTACATTTAGATCTCTATTTCATTAGTGTTTCAAAAAATTTAAAGAAATACCTGTACAGTGTAATTTTTAAAAAATCAAAAGGACACTTACATGTGAGAGAGAGTTGCGACCGATTTTAAATTTTTGGGGTCCACAGCTTCTACCAAATTTGCAGCCATTTAAATACATGCTCCATGAACAGCCAAAAGAGAATGAGGCTCCGCAGGTTTTTGGGTTAAGTCCTTGGCATGTACAGGTACGACTGTGGATGAAATTGCAAGAGAGTGAGGGAACAAAGCAGGATAATATATAAGTCACAAAACTTTACACACACAAAAAGCTGGTGAGAAGGTTGTATCATTTACTTATTTTATGTAATCATTCACTTAAAATGTCCATTGTTTTGTGTGATTTGGAGAAACTCGAGGTGGAAAATATAAAACAGACTTGGATATATTACCAATTAACTGTTTATATTCCCCTCAACTCTTGGGTCTTAAAATTTGGAAGCCATAATTTTAAACTTCAATTAGTAATTGGACAATGGTTCATACTTACAAAGAAATAAACCCAAAGAAATACCATTCATTCGTCTAGTGTTTCTAAATTTGCATGCTTAAAAATTCTGATCTGATAGATGTAATTTCTGGATACAAATACAACTCTAATGTATTTATAAATTTACGAACATTTTCATAGTTCTGGGGAATGAAGTTGTCTTGTATAAGCTAGGTAAGCACCCCCAAAATGGAAGTTATCAAAGAAATTGAAAAATAATTTACATGACATGAAAAAATACTAAGGGAGAGAAATTTATTTTGCTCGTTCTAGACCTTGAAGTCAGGGAATTAAACTTGCCAGCTTTCTTGCTTATATCACTTGAGCACTATACCACTTGAGCCCAACCTCCAGTCCAGCAGTTGGAGACTTTTCTACCTGTCTGGCTTCAACCCAAAATTATCTAGTCATCTCAGCCTTTTGAAAAGAGGGGAGACATCAGCAACATAGCATATAAATAGTATTCATATTTACTGCTAAGATCTAAACACAGGTCTCTAAATGCTAGGTAATCTGTCTGCCACTTTGCCACATCCATAGCTCTTAAGTTAAATACAGTGGGTCCATATGAAGAAATATATTTATTTTTAATTGAGATGACTAAATGAGGTTATCATCTTTAGAACTCATTGTTGTATACCCATTAAAAAAAGCTTTTAGTCTGTAAAAGATTTTGATCTCGCAAGGGTTAGGAAGGGAATATATATCTACTATATATTTACTATAACATTTATTTTAAACATACAGACTTAGCTATGATCAGTGGCACAAACAACCCTGTAATCCTGACTAATTGGGAGGCAAAGATGGAAGTGTATAAACAATGACCTGGGCCAGTTGTGTATTTCTGTTTATTCACTGGTTTCTGACTTTGTCAACCGTAGAAACAGGAAGGATCTAGCCCAGACCTCACTTCAAAAATATCCAACAGGGAGAAGGTGAGCAGGGTGACATTGATCAAGTTACATTACAGGTTATGAAACCTGACTTATAAATAAATTGAAATCTCTTAGCTGGACGCCAGAAATCCTAGCTACTCAGGTGACTGAGATATGAGGATAGCGGTTCAAAGCCAGCCTGGGCAAGAAAAGTCTGAGACTGTTATCTCCAATTAACCACCAGAAAATCGGAAGTGGCGCTGTGACTCAAGTGGTAGAGAGCTTACCTTGAGTTGAAGAGCTGAGAGACAGCGTCCCGGCCCAGAGTTTAAGCCCCACGACAGACAAAAAAAAAAAAAAAATTTAAAAAATCTCTTTGTACAAACAGCTAGATGCTGGTGGCTTACACCTGTAATCCTAGCTATTCAGGAGGCTGAGATCTAAGAATTGTGATTCAAAGCCAGACCAAACAGAAAAAGTCAGGCTAGGAATGTGGCTTAGTGGTAGAGTGCTCCCCTAGCATGCATGAAGCCCTGGGTTTGATATCTCAGTACCAAATACACAGAAAAAGCCAGATGTGAGGCTGTGGTTCAAGTGGTAGAATGCTAGCCTTGAGCAAAAGAAGCTCAGGGACAGTGCCCAGGCCCTGAGTTCAAGCCTAGGACTGGCAAAAACAAACAGAAAAACTCCGTGAGACTCTTGTTACCAATTAACCACCAGAAAACTGGAAGTAGAGCTTTTACTAGCCTTGAGCAAAAGAGCTCAGGGACAGAGCCTAATCTCTGAGTTCAAGCTCTATAATCCCTAAACTAACAATAGACTACAATGTAATCTCGTGTGCAGATGAAACACTACCAGCCAATTAAAAAAAAAAAAAAGCAATGGGCTGGGAGTGTGGCTTAGTGGTAGAGTGCTTGCCTCACATGCATGAAGTCCTGGGTTCGATTCCTCAATACCACATACACAGAAAAAGCTGGAAGTGGCACTGTGGCTCAAGTGGTAGAGCGCTAGCCTTGAGCAAAAGAAGCTAAGGGACAGCATGTAGGCCTGGAGTGCAAGACCCAGAACTAGCAAAAAAAAAAAAAAATAATAATAATAATGAATAAATAAAAAATATACTGGCTGCTGTGGCTCACACCTGTAATACTAGGTTCTTAGTAAACTGAGACCTGAGGATTAAGATTCAAAATCAGCCCTGGCAGCAAAGTCTGTGAGATGCTTATCTCTAATGAACCAGCAAAAAATCCAAAAGTAGAGCTGTGGCTTTTATGGTTGAGCAGTAGTCTTGAACCCAAAAGCTTAGGGACTGTGCTCAGGCCCTTAGTCCAAGCCCCAGGACCATAGCGCACACGCACACATCCATACACCCACACCTACACAAAACCAAAACAAAAAGTGGCTGGAGTGTTGGAGTGCTTGCTTAGTGAGCATTATTATTAGGAAGTTCTGACTTTGTTCCCCACACAGAGAAAGAAAGAGGAGAAAGAGAGAAAGAGAGAGAGAGAGACAGAGACAGAGAGAAGATAATCTAGTATTCTAAAAGTGACATTCAAAGTAACCCTAACTCACAGCCAAACTAATCTCTTTTAAACAAAATGTACATTAATTTTAGATCCACAATAGTTAAAACTGATTTTCCCATACAATACACTTAGTGGGTAGTTAATTAACAATTTACCATTAGATAATAGAGATCTGAATGTCAAAGCAGTACAAAACAGATTTGATTACTTTTCGTTGAGGGTACATCTTCGGTCTGTCGGATGACCATTGTACGACCTTAGACTGTGAGTTATCTCCGCGTACAATCTGTCAGCTAGCAGCCAAGGAACGCCTTCCCATAGCATGATGACCACCACTGTCACTGCTGTTTGACAATAGTGGCCTGGGCGCTCCCGGACCAAACAAAGAACTTTTTCTTCATTACTGCTTCTTCTTATAACCTGCAAAAGCAGAATGCATCCATCCATGCAAAACAAGCCTACTTTCTGTAAACAACTACTAAACACATCAAGGGGTCGAAGTCTATGGCCACCATCATATGATCTGTCTACCCAACTCACTTTCATAACTAACAAAAGAAGTGCAAAAATCTATGATTTGTACTTTTTGAAAAAGTTTATACAGGAACAAGAGGACTCAGTGGAAAACTGACATTAGCAGGATTGCAAAGTCACATGACAAATGGGACTGGATATAAAAAACCGAAGAAATCTCATAGTAAATAGACAGTTGATGGGTAGATATGTAAATAATACAGAAAGCAATTCCCTGAAATTTTCATGGCTTCTTCATGTTACCACTAGGACATATTACATGTAAGGTGATATAGCTGACTTAGTGAATTGCAAAATATAACAATTTGAAATTCTATTTTTCATGTGCCTAGTGTTCAAAAGGGTTTCTAGTTCTGTTTTTGTGGCTCACACCTGTAATCCTAACTACTCAGGAGGATGAGAGCTGAGGTTGTGGTTGAAAGCCAGTCCAGAAATGGAAGGTTGCTGAAACTCTTATCTCTAATCAATCAGCAAAAATTCAGAAGCGAAGCTGTGGTTCCAGAGTGCCAGCCTTAAGTGCAGCAGTGGAGCCCACTAGACATTGTTGAAAGTAAATGATACTACTTATGGACGTAGATGGAAGACAGAGAGGGAATGGGAGAGAATGAGGGAACAGATAATACTATGCAAAAGGAAGGAAATGTATTTAGTACCTGACCCATGTAAAAGTAACATGCTGTATATCACCTCTAAAACAACAATTAAAAAAAAAAAAGAGTGCCAGCCTTAGCTGGGCACCGGTGGCTCACTCCTACAATCCTAGCAGCTTAGGAGGCTTGAGATCTGAAGATTCGGGTTCCAAGCCAACCAGGGCAAGAACATTCATGAGACTCTTATCTCCAATTCACCACCAGACAATTCCAAGTGACACTACAGCTCAAAGTGGTAGAGCACTAGCCTTGGGCAAAAGAACTCATGGGCAACATGTAGGCCCTGAGTTCAAGATCGAGGAGCAGGAATAAAAAAGTGCCAGCCTTGAGCAAAAACAAAAAAAAAAGGTAAGGGCCAGCACCCAGACTCTGAGTTCAAGCTCCAGTAAGAAATAAAGGAAATAAAGGAAAATAAAAAGCCCAAATGCAGCCGGGCGCTGGTGGCTCACACCTATAATCCTAGCTACTCAGGAGGCTGAGATCTGAGGATCGCAGTTCAAAGCCAGACAAGGCAGGAAAGTTCGTGAGAATCTTATCTCCAATAAACCGCTAGAAAAGCAGAAGTGGTGCTGTGGCTCAAGCGGTAGAGCGCTCGCCTTGAACTGAAGAGCACAGGGACAGCGCAAAAGCCCAGAGTTCAAGCCCCACAACCAACAAAAACAAAACAAAAAGACAAAATGTAGCAGTGAAGCCTGCCTGTATAACTAACCTCAGCTTAAAAAAAAAAGCTTGGTGCCATTGGTACAGCGCCCAGCATCCTGGAGCAGGTAAAACATTTCCAAGATAGAAAATCAGCCAAACAAAACCACAAGCACTTCACAACAGAAACCTATGAGAAACATGTAAAAATGTGTTCAACAATATTAGTTGCCCAACAAAGAAAAACAATTTATAGTATTACAGATGCTGATAGGAGCCCCAAATGGTACAATCATTATGGAAAAATTAATGAAGTTACCATGGTGGTCCCAATTCTGCAAACCCAGGATTCAGGAGGCTCAAGCAATAAGACTTTGAACATTAATGCCAACTGTGTCTAAAAACATCTTAACCATTGTCAAGATGAAAGGGAATGTCACATGACTTAGTGGTAGACTGCTTACTTATCTAGCATACTAGAGGCCTTGAATTCAGTCCCCAAGGGCAGCGAGGGTTGGGATGGCAATTTTCCTATTTATTTTTTACTCCAGGGAGTTAAAAAGTATTAAGTAACAAGGATTGGCAAACATGTGGAGAATCTTTATATTGTACATTGAATATAAGAACTGTAAAAGTGGTTATTTTACAAAATTATTAGCAAAAACTGAACATGGCTATTTCCCAAAGTCAGCATAACTGAACTCAGAAGTGATCCAAATGACACTGAGGAACTGGCTTCAAGTTTGTGATCCTCCTCTTGGCCTTGTGACTCACTGCTTCTGGGGGAAAACAAGCTACTATGTCACGGAAACATTCCAATAGTACTGAAATAGAATTAAGTCTACATGCAATAGTGACCAAATACCTATGGCCTTGCACAAGGAGCCTAGAAGTGACACTGTAAGTGAGCTCCCTCCTCCAGACAGTGATCATCTCATCAGATACCCTATGTCACAAGCACCCACTCAGCTGATCTGCATCCCAAACCCACAAAACTGTGTGATGGAATATTTTTTGTCCCAAGTTGCTATATTTTGGTGTACTCTGGTTCAACAGATTATGCACACAGATTTGATCAGTTCATTCCATAGAATATGATTTAGAATCCAGCTACCATGTCCCTATCTCAAACATCCCAAAGGTTTCATGCTGCTCATAGAAAAGAATTTTGAGTTCCTTTCTATGGTCTGAAAAACCATTCCATTATCTCTGCCTGTTCTTTTGCCCTCAGCTAGTTCCATTCCTGCTTTAACTCCATTGAATTCTTCTGACGTGTGTGCGTGTGTTCATGTGTGTGTGCGCATGGGTGTGTGTTTGTTTGTATACCAGTACTGAAGTCTGAACTCAGAGCTGGCTGCTCTTGCTCAGGTCATAGCTAGCACTCTACCCTTTAAGTCATGCCTCCAGTCTGGCTTTTTGGCTGGTTAATTGGAACTAGTTTGCCTTTCTAAACAGGTGGGATTCCATGTGTGAGGCACTAGTACCCAGCAGTGACACTATTTTTTTAAAGAGGTTCCCTTTTCCTTGAACCCAGACATTGTACTTAATGCTGAGAAAGAGCCTCTGCTCCTTTCATTCTTTGAGAGTATTTTAATTTGCACACTTGGGCTATCTGTTACTTTGTGATACAAGTTCTCTAGGCTCCAAGGTTGGCCTTAAACTTGTGGACTCAAGTGATTCGCTTGTCTCAGCCACAAAGAGATAGGTTATACATGAGAATCAGAGACTACAGGCATACACCACCATGCCAAGATTCAATTTTCAGCTTAAATGTTTTATCCCAAGACAAGCTTGTTAATTAGAAAACCATGGAATGATTGTTGCTTAAAAGGGGAAAGTGAGTGAGAGAGAGAGAGAGAGAGAGAGGGAAGAAAAAGACCCCTAGCTCCCACACAACATAAAATCAGAGTTGGTCTATTGGACTAGCAGCAGTATTTTCAGAAACTCAATCCAGGCTGGGAATGGGGCTTAGTGGTAGAGTGCTTGCCTAGCATGCATGAAGTCTGGGTTCGATTCCTCAGAACAACAGAAGCCAGAAGTGGTGCTGTGGCTCAAGTGGTAGAGCTAGCCTTGAGTGAAAGAATCTCTGGGACATTGCCCAGGCCCTGAGTTCAAGCCCCAGGACTGGCAAAAAAAGAAGGAAGAAGACAGAGGAGGAGGAGGAGGAGGAGGAGAGGAAGATGAAGAATCAGCAGCAGCAGCAGTTCATTCCACCAGATATACAAGAAAAATAAAGAGACATGTAATCTATGAGGACAATTTTTTTAGTAAATGTGAGAAACCACAGAAACAGAAGGTAAAAACAGCCCTGAAGGACAACTGGGAAAAACTATAACATATTGTCTATGATAAAAATTGCATGTTTAAACATTGTAAAAGTGTGTGCCTACCACCAAAAGCAAAACCAGAGCAAGGAAAGTCTGCTTTTATATCATCTCTCCATGAGTATATTGCTACTTCACAAATTGATTTAAAGGAAAAGAATGATAATCAAGCCTTTACAAATACTTACCCACTTAGCAACTGGACACCCCTGAGAACTCTTTCCTTCTTTGCCTGTGTATACTACTTTTTCTAGCCTTATTGCCTTTCCTTGTTGGCCGTACCTAAGTACAGTGGAAGAAAAGTACTAAATTATTGCAATATATACCTGATACCTTTAGCTTTCAACATTTAAGATACAAAAGTAGAAATGAATAAAAGTTCAAAAACTTCCTAATTTACTTTTGTTAAATTTGTTTTTGCCAGACTATAGTGGCTCATGCTTGTAATCCTAAGTATTAAAGAGACTGAGATCTGAGGATGAGATTCAAAGTCAGCCTCTGCAGAAGTCCATGAGGTTCTTATCTCCAATTAACCACCAAAAAGCCAGAAGTAGAACTCTGGTTCAAGTAGTAGAGCACCAACCTGGAGTGCAAAAAGCTAAGGGACAATGCTCAGGTCTCTAAGTTCAACAATCCCCAATATCTGCACGCGCACACACACACACACTCTCTCTCTCTCTCTCTCTCTCACACACACACACACACACACACACACACATACAAAAAGATCAAAAATTAAAGTTTGCTTTTGTGTGGCAGGTAATTTGTTATTCAGTTCTTATCCTTATCCTTAAAGGCCTTAATAGCGAGGGACAGAACATAAAGAGGAAGACAGTGCTTGCTGGAAATGATCATTTGAACTATTCCTACCATAGCAGTTATATGAACGAAAGTTCCCTTGAATTTCTCAAAGAGCCTTTCCTTCCTTGAGAGGAATTTGTTGAATGAATCCCAAGACCTCATGGGAAAGTTAGGACACCTGGCCAGCTTTCTTACTTCCTGGGCCCTAAACAACATTCAACTCACACTCCATTCCTGAAGAGAACTAACCTTTAGTGAGCCAGGTACTCAGTGAGGCAGGATGAGCAGGGAGGGCATCATGTTTCCTTACCTAGTCTCCATGAGTGTCCTGATAGCAGCAACATCAGGTCCTGCCCCCAAATGTGTGTAATATGGCCCTTTGTCCTTTTGTTTCCCTGAAGAAGAAATGAGATGATTAGATCCCTAAGCTTTTAGAAAATTGCATGAGGACAAGGAGGAGATGCACAGCATTTTGGCCACTTTTGAGAATTACAGTCAAAGACAACAGGTCCTATCATACAACTTGTTCCAGTCTTTCTTTCTCCAACAACCATGACAAACAAAAGTATTTTAGAGTGGATGTTTATTCTCTCATCTCTTATTTAAAAAGAAAAAACTTCATTGGAGAGTGATGCGGGGGGTGGGCATGGGGGAAGGATGGAAGAGGTGACAATGATCAATGATTAAGAAGCATTGTGGGCTGGGAAGGTGGCTCAGTGGCAGAGTGCTTGCCTCACATGCATGAGGCCCTGAGTTCGATTCCTCAGCACCACATAAACAGAAAAAGCTGGAAGTGGCGCTATGGCTCAAGTGGTAGAGCACTAGCCTTGAGCTGAAGAGCAGCGCCCAGGCCCAGAGTTCAGGCCCCACGACCGGACCAAAAAAAAAAAAAAGCACTAGATAGTCTCCCTGTAACAAAGCAGTATGAAGTCTAAAATGTCAATAAAAAGCCCACTCAAGGTATAATTACTCTAATATAGAGAGGTTATTAGTATTTCCACTCCAAGGAAAGCTTTTGTCTTCAGATATGATGGTTCTCCTTGAGAAGTTACCTTTTAGCTTCTTCTTCTACCCTTACAACACAAACCATATATACAATGATTAAAGGAATCTTAGGACTTAGGGCTTAAATGACAGAGCAGAAAAACCTGAGAGTTCAAGTCCAGGTACCAGTACTCAAACCAGAAGTAAAGAGAGTATAAAGTACTTCTGGGGGCTGGGAAGGTGGCTCAGTGGTAGAGTGCTTGCCTTGCATGCATGAAGCCCTGGGTTCGAACAAAAAACAAAAAAACAAAAACAAACTTCTGGTTCTACTACAAGTATTCAATTTTGATCTTTAATATCTGGCTGGATACACTATAGCTACTTTGTTTGAGGAAAGGATTTTGAAGGGACAATCATCTATTAGAACTATTTACATAGGAAAACTAGAGTAGCTCTGGGATACTCATTTGGAATTGAAGGTAGTCTTTTCAGTTGTAAAAGATATGCATAAGAAAGTGTTTAGATTTTCGAAGCCAGAGGGTGCAAATACCAAGTTTAGCCTTAACATCGCCTGTCTACCTGTACCGGTTTGTTTGTAAATTTATATAAAAGGAAAAGAAGCCCTCCCTTTGTAGGGATGATGTGAAGCTAACATGTCAAAGGCATGGCCAAGCACCACACTTGTAGGAACAGTTGCAGAATGGAGACCTTCATCGTTATGAGCATTTTTCTTCTCCCTAGTCTAAGAACCTCTATACTGTGCCACTCAGTACACTGTGAGCACTTGTAGACTGTGTGCTGTTCCTGAAAGAGCCTACCCATGGATCCTGATACAAGATAGCCTGAAAACCTGCAGAGGAGAGAGAAGCAAGGAATGGAAACACATGTGAATATCGACTGAACCTTGTATTAAAACTATAAAACTCAGTATAATACTGTTGTTTAAAAGTCAGACTAGACTTTTATTCTTCCAAACTATCCTTTTTTTGTTTGCTTTGATCGGTCATGGGGCTTGAACTTTGGGCCTGGGCACTTTCTCTGAGCTCTTCAGCTCAAGGCGAGCACTCTACCACTTGAGCCACGGTGCCACTTCTGGTTTCCTCATGGACTTTCCTGTCTGGGTTGGCTTTGAACTGCAATCCTCATATTTCAGCCTCCTGAGTAGCAAGGATTACAGGTGTGCATCACTGGTGCCAGCCCAAACTATTCTTTAACTATCCATTCTGGATGTCTTTTTCTCTTTAAGGAAAGAGGAAAAGGTTGATGTTAAACTTTGAACCCAGGCAAGACTTTGAATTCAGGGCCTCATATATGGCGCTAGTAGATGCTGCTGTACCATTTGAACCATATCCCCTGCTCTTACTACTACTCTAGAAATTTTGGTGTTAGTATAAAAGGCCTGTCCTTTGTTTAGTTGGAGGGAAAAACATATAGTCTAGGTAGTTCAGGCTGGCCTTGAACTCACCTTCTTTCTTCCTATTCATGAGCTAGAATTTGAGGTGTATATCAGTAGGTCTGGCTGTAATTTTATTTTATTTATTTTTTTAACCATCTTTTTCACCTTTTTTTCTTTGTGATTTGAGCCCTACTTTAACTTACTGTTAGGCTAGCTAAGTCTATTGAGAAGGGGTTTAAAACACTTGACAAATTCCATCCTATTTCAGTTGAAATAAAGGTTATAAAAGCTGCAAAGGGAGCTGGGAACTTGGCTCAGTGGTAGAGTGCTTGCCTCGCATGCATGAGGCCCTGAGTTCAATTCCTCAGCATCACATAAACAGAAAAAAGCCGGAAGTGGCTCTGTGGTTCAAGTGGTAGAGTGCTAGCCTTGAGCTGAAGGGCTGAGGAACAGTGCCCAGGCCCAGAGTTTAGCCCCTACGACTGACCAAAAAAAAAAGCTACATGGCAAACCTTAATGACACAATGTATTTGATTTCCCTAATGTCAGATTTTTTTACTTGTATTTGTGCGTTTTATGTAACTTGCGTATAGACAGTGACTAATCAAAAGTCAAGAGAATCTTTACCCCATAAAAATGTTGTAGGGTTTGTAAAACTTTGATAGAACTAGTTTCTAAAAAGGCTGGGCACTGGTGGCTCACACCTGTAATCCTAGCTATTCAGGAAGCTGAGATCTGAGGACTGAGATTCAAAGCCAGCCAGGGCAAGAAAGTCTGTGAGATTCTTTTTTTTTTTCTTTTTACTTATGTGGTGCTGAGGAATCGAACCCAGGGTCTCAGGCATGCAAGGCAAGCGCTCTACCACTGAGCCACTTTCCCAGCCCAGTCTATGAGATTCTTTTTTTTTTT